GCAGAAATGTGTATTACAATAGGGAAATACAGAAAGCCCCTCTGGGTGTATGACTTCTAGATTAATCATCCGTGGAGATTCCTGTTGCTTGGTACACAGATGGATGAGCATGGGGATTATTTTGTAAAGGAACAGAATATGTATTTTTAAGGAAATTGGTTTTAGGAAAGGTGAAGACCTGGAAATTGTCTCAAATTTGGCAGTGCTCCACGGTCCTTTGAAAAGTCTTCATGTACCTCTATTTGAAGATAATTGACCTATTTTTTGACAGAGAATGAGAAGTTTCATAAGGATTTTAAGTTGTAAGTTGCAATAAGCTCCTCCTAAATTCTCCTCTTCCATGGCAACCCATAGGACAGTTGCTATTGAATTTTTTTTTAAAGACTTCTTTTATTTGAAAGCCAGAATTACAGAAAGGCAGAGGCAGAGAGACACACACACACACAGAGGGAGAGAGGTTTTCCATTCGCTGGTTCACTCCCCAGATGGCCAGAACGGCCGGAGCTGCACAGATCAGAAGCCAGTAGCCCAGACCTTTCTTGGTCTCCCACGCCGGTGGGGCCCAAGGACTTGGGCCATCTTCTGCTGCTTTGCCAGGCCATAGCAGAGAGCTGGATCAGAAGTGGAGCAGCTGGGACTCAAACTGGCACCCACATGGGATACCAGCACTGCAGGCAGCAGCTTTACCCACTATACCACAGCGCCGGCCCCTGCTATTGAGTTTATCAGTCAATTTTAGGTTTGCATCTTGAGTATTCTAACCAAACAAATAATTTTATTCCTAATATCAGCGGGTCTTTAACCAGATCAAAGCAGAGAGAACACTAGACCACGATAGAGAATGCCAAGTATTAGAACCATAACAAGAAGAAAATTAATACACTTTGGAGAGAGCAGGTGTTTAAAGAAAATGGGGGAAAAAGTTGATTCAAAAGATTTTTACCTTCCATTGCTATAGTGTATATTTTAAAATAAATAGAAGAGAAGTTTTTGAATGTTGTCACTAAAAAAAGATAAATGTTTGAAGTGATATGCTAATTATTCTGATTTGATTGTTACACAGTGTATACATGCATCAACATGCTGCATTAGCCTTATAAATATGTACCATTATGAGCTGTCAATTAAATAGAAAAATAAAACCTACAAGAAGGGATTGAAGAAAGTTTTTGACCTATTCAAAGTCAATCTAATTCTTTATCATAGACTTTGGTAGTGTGAGGCCTTGGCCACCTTAAGCTTGAAATTCGATTAAGTCTAATTTTAGCAACAAATCCTAAATTGGTAAAAAATAGAAACCCAGAACTTTGCCCGGTTTTGATACTAAAGAAGGTGAGCAAAACTCATGGTTTCTTTCATGTGCAGGCTTAGATTAGGAGTAACAAACATCAAGGCAGGGACAATCTTGTTAACAAACGCAGTGCCCCAGATTCCTAATTTCCTTCTAGTTTTTCAAAAGGTACCTGTAACATATACCTACACTTTCTTGTTTCAGAACCTGTTTACACTTTAGGTTGAAGTGACGCACAACGTTTCCTTTTATTTCCTCTAAAATCACCTCTCTTATGCAGCAAGGATTGTTCCTGCTGTCATCCTGGGTAGATTGCTTTTGTGGCGCTTTCCCAGCTCCTTTAAGAGTTCCGTGTGTGGACGTGCACATGGCCCTTCAGATGCCCCTGCCACTGACATAGAGAAAGAGGTATTGTCAAGAAACTCCTGTCGTGTCTGTTTTTAAACTGTTGCTATGTTCTGGTGTATAATGCTAAAAAGAATCTGGCATAATCGGGAAAATAAATATCCCCCCAGAAACTGGCTGGGTTGAAAAGCAGTATTTGTCAGCAGAACGGCGTGTGACTGTTATCAGAACTTACAGGGTGACTTGTAGTTTCACATTTGTGCATAGTTATTAAGCGGCAGAGTAGAATACAAATCCAGGTGTGTTTTGTGCCCAGCCATATCTTTACACCATTCTAAAAAGTTACCTTCTATATTCTTCACGTGAAGCTCAGCTTTGAGACTCAAAATTAGTACAGATAATGCTTATGTAGAAAGACTTTTGAGTTTATTCAAGACAGGCAGATACATACACAAATATGATAAAATGGTATGTGTGTGCGTGTGTGTGTGTGTTCTTGCCTTTGAAATTTCCTATTGAAATACATGAGCAGATCTTCTGGCAGAATTTTAGGTCTATGACAAATCAATAGTTAGGGAGAGAAATGTGACAATGTGCCCTATGAGGGTTCCCCACCCCTGAGTCCTCCTGTTTACTTTCATTGTTGCTCTTCAGAGTTCATAGCTTCACTGGGCCTGAAAATTCCCGAGCTTATGGGTGAATAAATGTGGCTACCACACACTCCCCTAAAAAGCTCCTGCTCCACTGCTGACAATCAACAGAAAAGTCAGTGGCATCTGACCTAGCTTGGAAGATGTTTTCAGTTCTTGTTTTGAAGTCGTGCCCCATTTCCTTTTATCTTTCCTGTGCAGTGGCATCCCATTAACTTTTATGTCTCTCACAAGCCTATATAGTAGATGCTCTGTTAATGCTTGCTAGTGCAGCTTTAACAGCTGCAGCAGAGCTCAATGACCAATGTCCCATTCAGAGACAATTATCCTAATTAGCAGGAGGGTCCCAGAGTGACAGTTGGGTCCAAGGAGCATGACTGGCCATTCTTCACCATGTAGATATTAATATTCTACACTTCCTTTATGCTTCATGCACAAAATCCTGTTTTACAAAACTCTCCTTTAATAAGACTATGGTATCGATCACAGCACTATGCACAGAATATTTATTGAAAGAATGAGTGAATGAATGTTTACCTTATTTTCAGTATATTTTCAGATAATATCCAGGAATCCCAGCATGCTTTTGTACTTGTTAGCACAACTTTGTGATGAGGAGGTGAGAAAAGCTGGATATTGTTTGTGAAATAATGAAAATAATAATAATGGTGATGATAATAATAACCATTGATCAGCACTGTTCTGTGCCAGGAACCTGGCCTTCCTCATCTTGTACAGTCTTCATAGCAACCCTAGGAAATGGGTAATAGGACTACTCCTATTTTCAGCATGAGGATTTTGAAGCTTTAAGGAATGCAGTCCTTGCCCAAAGTCACATGGCTAGAAAGTGCCTGAGCCTAGTTTCTAACCTGGTCATCCCTTCTCCAAAGCTCACACAATTGATTACTGTGAACCAAAGCATGTTTCCTCTTCCCGCTCTGTTAACTTCTTTTAAAAAATATTTATTTATTGGCTGGCACCGCGGCTCACTAGGCTAATCCTCCGCCTGCGACGCTGGTACCCTAGGTTCTAGTCCTGGTTGGGGTACCAGATTCTGTTCCGGTTGCTCCTCTTCCAGTCCAGCTCTCTGCTGTGGCCTGGGAAGGCAGTGGAGGATGGCCTAAGTGTTTGGGCCCTGCACCCACATTGTAGACAAGGAGGAAGCACCTGGCTCCTGGCTTCAGATCAGCATAGCGCGCCAGCTATGATGGCCATTTGGGGGTTGAACCAACGGAAGGAAGATCTTTCTCTCTGTCTCTCTCTCTCACTGTCTAACTCTGCCTGTCAAAAAAATATATTTATTTATTTATTTATTCATTTGAAAGGTAGAAACATAGAGAGACGTGTGTGGGACAGAGAGATAAAGAGAAGCTTCCATCAGCTGATTCACTCCCCAGATGGCTGCAATAGCTGGGCTGGGCCAGGCCAAAGCCAGGAGCCAGGAACTTCTGAGTCTCCCATGTGGGTACAGAGGCCCAAGAACTCCGGCCATCTTCTGCTGCTTTTCCAGGTGCATTAGCAGGGAGCTGGATCCAAAGTGGAGCAGCAGGGACTCAAATTGGTGCCCATATGGGATGCCGGTACTGCAAGTGGAGGCTTAATTTTCTGTGCCTCAGCACTGGCCCCTCTGTTAACTTCTAAAAAGAAAGTAATCTTCATTCATTAGATAGAAAGAAGAGGCAGAAATTAAAATTACAGATCATAACATCTCTCTTTTTTATTTTTATTTATTTATTTATTTGACAGGCAGAGTGGACAGTGAGAGAGAGAAACAGATAGAAAAGTCTTCCTTTGCCGTTGGTTCACCCTCCAATGGCCGCCGTGGCCAGCGTGCTGCGACTGGCGCACCGCGCTGATCCGATGGCAGGAGCCAGGTGCTTCTCCTGGTCTCCCATGGGGTACAGGGCCCAAGCACTTGGGCTATCCTCCACTGCACTCCCTGGCCACAGCAGAGAGCTGGCCTGGAAGAGGGGCAACCGGGACAGAATCCGGCGCCCCAACTGGGACTAGAACCTGGTGTGCCGGCGCTGCAAGGCGGAGGATTAGCCTAGTGAGCCGCAGTGCTGGCCAACATCTCTCTTACTATGTAAGATCCCTCTAAGGTAATCCTTTGAAAGGTTAATTGTAATACAGATATTTTTATTTAATTTACAGCCTCTCAAATCTCTTCTGTCGCCCCAACAGCAGTCATCTTTTCATCTGAAAGATTAATAAGCAAGCATTGTTTCTAATCTGTTGTTGTATGGTGTAGTTGTGTGACCCAAAGACTTGACCAAGAATTAAGTAAGCCCCTCAGCTTACGCAGTTTACACCAATCTTCCAAAGATGGATCAAAGGTACACTGTGCAAGCAGGAGAGGAAGTTATGATCACTAAGGAAATGATGTGTACAAAGTACTAGACGCTTAGTGTGGAAAACGTTCTCTTTCTCTGGGGTCAATGGGTGAGTTTGGCACAGCATGCTCTTTCTAATAACTTTGATTCCATTTTAAGGAAAACCTGTTCTGGGGATGTGAAGAAAATCTTCATGGTGATAACATATTTTGGAGGTCAGTCAGCAGAACAGCAGCTGAAATATGTAAAAGAACAGTGAAACTGGACAGAACTTTATTCTTGAAGTATACAGTCCCTCAAGTCTGCAACATTATGCTGCTTATTGGAGTAAAATGTGCAGCTTTTGCATTATTGTTTTGTTCTTTGCCTTGTCTTTCCTAGAATGACTACAAAAAACTCTCAATGCAGTGCAAAGACTTTGTTGTTGGACTCCTTGATCTGTGCAGAAATACTGAAGAAGTCGAGGCCATTCTGAATGGGGATGTTGAAACACGCCACCCTGGTGACCATGGTCGTCCAAATCTCAGCCGTTTAAAACTTGCCATTAAATACGAAGTAAAAAAAGTAAGGTCAGGCATGAAGCAAATTTGCATGATTTCAGTTCTTATTGGTGCTAACTCAGGAAGAAGGATTGCCATTGTTAGATTGAGCTGAGTTTTTCTAATTGACATTGGCACTAAGCAGAATCTCTAAGAACTATTAACAGCTAGTTGTGAGGTATTCAACTTACACCAAACACCAGTCTTCAAAAGCTAGACCCATTTACACAGAACATTGCAGTGATTGCCACTTTCCTTGACTTAACCAAGGATACAACAATGACTTTGTGCAGGCAAACTATAAGACTTACTTAAATGATGGGAACATCATTATTTCATACCCAGCTCCATTTTCCCATTTGCTGCTGTTTTTCATTTGGAATGAATGCCTTCAATTCCTTCCTCTGTGCATTTGAGTCCCCTCCAGCTTCAACTTTACTTGTGGGAAATTTTAAATCTCTGTCTTTTTTGAAGTAGCCCCTACACCTTTGATTGCTTTCTTAGGTTATCTGAGATCTTAAAAAATGTAATGGTAGGTTTTGTAATAAGAGTAGTTCACGCTCATGGTTAAGTTTTCAAATAGTATAGACATGTCTTCTCTCAGTCCTTCCAGTTCTTTAAAAATTGCTATGTATCGATCTGAAAGGCAGAGTGGCAGAAAGAGACGGATAGGGATAGGGATAGGGATAGGGATAGGGATAGGGATAGGGATAGGGATAGGGTTAAGGATAGGGATGGCGGGGGAGAGAAAGAGAGAGATCTGCTGGTTCACTTCCCAAATACCTGCAACAGCTAGGGTTGGTCCAGGCCAAAGCAAGGAGCCAGGAGCTCCATCTGGTTCTTGCTCGTGGATGGCAGGGGCCCACATACTTGGCCCATCACTTAGTGCCTCCCCAGGTGCACTAGCAGGGAGCTGGATCAGAAGATCATTAATGCAGCAGCTAGGTCTGAAACTGATACTCCAATGAGGGCTGCCATCGGCTTAATCCAATATGCACTGCCCCCTGTTTCCAATCTTAATGGAGAGTAATGAGCTACCATTATGCTTTTCAAATTTATGTCTTAGATATCTTCACATATCATACAATAAACACCTTTCATCTGTCAAACACTGCATTTTTATATCATTATATAAGTGTTCATTAATCAGTTTACTTTTTAAGGATGTTTATTCTATGTTTTATTATTACAAATGTTTTGTCTATTTTTTGTACAGCAAACATACTTGTTCATTTATCTTGTTTACTTGAAAACTAAATTCCTAGATGTCAAATTATAGTAAAATGTCTAATTATTTTTCATTTTTAAATGTTTATGTATCTTTATTGATTTGAAAGACAGAGTGGCCAAGGCTGGGCTAGGACAGAGCCTGAAGCCTGGAGCTCCATCTGGGTCTCCCACATGGGTGGCAGGGGCTCTAGCGCTTGAGTCATTCTCCGCTGCCCTCCCAGGCACATTAACAGGGAGTTGGATCAGAAGCACACAAGCCGGGACTCAAACCAAAGTGCAAATGGGATGTCAGCATCACAGCCAGTGGTTTACCCCTCTGTGCCACAATCCTGGCTCCAATGTTGTTAGCTTGTTAACATTTTTATATGCTTTGAAAGAAAGCCTGTTAAGTCATAAAGGAAAGTTTGGGTAAATTTGAATATTAAAATTTATTTTCTAGTATTTTCTAATATTTTAATTTTTATTTAAACTTTTTTGATTAACATTTAAATTTGTACATTTTTATGAGGTACCGTGCAATATTTCAACACTTGTATATAGTGTGAATTGATCAAATCAGGCAATTAGCAGGGATTCTCAGATTTACATAATATATATTAGAACATCTTGCTATCTTACTTGATGCCTGTTAATTTTAAGTTTCTTCTTTAATTCTAACCATGTTTTTCATGGAAAAACACAGAACTAAATCTTAGAACACATGAAAATAGTTAATGGTGAACCTTTCTTTAATCAAGTTGTTCCATGTTTTGTCACCTCCTGGCTAGTTTGTAGCTCATCCAAACTGCCAACAGCAGCTCCTCTCCATATGGTACGAGAATCTCTCCGGGTTGCGGCAGCAGACGATGGCAGTCAAGTTCCTCGTGGTCCTTGCTGTTGCCATTGGACTGCCCTTTCTGGCTCTCATTTACTGGTTTGCTCCATGCAGCAAGGTATGTCCGTGAAGCTCGGGCCTCTGTTATCTACTATAAATGTCCAGTAGGGAACTTTCAATTTCCAAAATGAAAATTTCAGGGAAGCACAGTTTGCCTTAAGTAACCATTTTTAATAGGAAAATGCATACTTGTTAGAGTAAACATAAGAAAAAGATGGAAAGAATTAAAATTCACCTGAAACATCCCTTGTAATGTGTGAATAAAACCTCAGTCGCTCTGCTACTTTATTTCCTTTTAGTCTTTTCTCTACCTTTATCTATGTATATGCTTTTGTATTTTTAGTGAGGTCGCAGTCTCCTTGAATGGATACTTCAAATGACATTCTTTTTTTCTTTTATTGTTTGACAGGTAGAGTTATAGACAGTGAGAGAGAGACAGAGAGGAAGGTCTTCCTTCCGTTGGTTCACTCCCCAAATGGCCACCACGGCTGGTGCTGCGCCGATCTGAAGCCAGGAGCCAGGCACTTGTTCCTGGTCTCCCATGTGAGTGCAGGGGCACAAGGACTTGGGCCATCCTCCACTGCCCTCCCGGGCCGCAGCAGAGAGCTGGACCAGAAGAACAACTGGGACTAGAACCGGGTGCCCACAGGGGATGCCGGTGCCGCAGGCGGAGGATTAACTAAGTGAGCCACGGTGCTGGACCCTCAAATGACATTATTTTTTTTACCTTTTATTTAATGAATATAAATTTCCAAAGTACGACTTATGGATTACAATGGCTTCCCCCACATACCGTCCCTCCCACCCACAACCCTCCCCTTTCCCACTCCCTCTCCCCTTCCATTCACATCAAGATTCATTTTCGATTATCTTAATATACAGAAGATCAGCTTAGTATACATTAAGTAAGGATTTCAACAGTTTGCTCACACACAGAAACATAAAGTGAAAAATAATAGATGATTTTTTTTAAATGATGATGAAATCAGATCAGACCTATTGTCATGTTTAATCACAGTGAGAGTCAAGTTGGGAATTGATAATTTCTTTTTTTTTTTTTCTTCAGAGGATCAGTTTAGTATGCATTAAGTAAAGATTTCAACAGTTTGCACCCCCATAGAAACACAAAGTGAAATATATTGTTTGAGTACTTGTTATAGCATTAAATCTCAATGCACAGCACATTAAGGACAGAGATCCTACATGAGGAGTAAGTGCACAGTGACTCCTGTTGTTGACTTTACCAATTGACACTCCTGTCTATGGCATCAGTAATCTCCCTATGCACCAGTCATGAGTTTCCAAGGCTATGGAAGCCCTCTGAGTTCTCCGACTCTTATCTTGTTTAGACAAGGTCGTAGTCAAAGTGGAGGTTCTCTCCTCCCTTCAGAGAAAGGTACCTCCTTCTTTGAAGACCTGTTCTTTCCACTGGGATCTCACTCACAGAGATCTTTTGCCAGAGTGTCATGGCTTTCCATGCCTGAAATACTCTCATGGGCTTTTCAGCCAGATCTGAATGCCTTTAGGGCTGATTCTGAGGCCAGAGTGCTATTTAGGACATCTGCCATTCTATGAGTCTGCTGAGTATCTCACTTCCCATGTTGGATCACTCTCCCCTTTATTTATTCCATCGGTTAGTGTTAGCAGGTACTAGACTTGTTTATGTGCTCCCTTTGACTCTTAGTCCTTTCATTATGATCAATTGTGAACTGAAATTGATCAATTGGAATAGTGAGATGGCATTGGTACATGCCACCTTGATGGGATTGAATTGGAATCCCCTGGTATGTTTCTAACTCTACCATTTGGGGCAAGTCAGCTTGAGCATGTCCTAAATTATACATCTCTTCCCTCTCTTATTCCCACTCTTATGTTTAACAGGGATCACATTTCAGTTAATTTTCAACACTTAAGAATAACTGTGTATTTTTTTTTTTTATTTTTTTGACAGGCAGAGTGGACAGTGAGAGAGAGAGACAGAGAGAAAGGTCTTCCTTTGCCGTTGGTTCACCCTCCAATGGCCGCCGCGGCCGACGCGCTGCGGCCGGCGCACCGCGCTGATCCGATGGCAGGAGCCAGGAGCCAGGTGCTTTTCCTGGTCTCCCATGGGGTGCAGGGCCCAAGCACCTGGGCCATCCTCCACTGCACTCCCTGGCCACAGCAGAGGGCTGGCCTGGAAGAGGGGCAACCGGGACAGAATCCGGCGCCCCGACCGGGACTAGAACCCGGTGTGCCAGCGCCGCTAGGCGGAGGATTAGCCTAGTGAGCCGCGGCGCCGGCTAACTGTGTATTAATTACAGAATTAAACCAGTCATATTAAGTAGAACAGACAAAAAAAATTACTAAGAGGGATAATGTATTAAGTTGTTCATTAACAGTCAGGGCTATGCTGATCAAGTCACTGTTTCCCATAGTGTCCATTTCACTTCAACAGGTTTCCTTTTTGGTGTTCAGTCAGTTGTCACCGATCAGGGAGAACATATGGTATTTGTCCCTTTGGGACTGGCTTATTTCACTCAGCATGATGTGTTCCAGATTCCTCCATTTGTTGAAAATGACTGGATTTTGTTGTTTCTTACTGCGGTATAGTATTCTAAAGAGTACATATCCCATAATTTCTTTATACAGTCAACCGTTGATGGGCATTTAGGTTGGTTCCAGGTCTCAGCTATTGTGAATTGAGCTGCAATAAGCATTAGGGTGCAGACCTCTTTTTTGGTTGCCAATTTAAATTCCTTTGGGTAAATTCCAAGGAGTGGGATGGCTGGATCGAACGGTAGGGTTATCTTCAGGTTTCTGAGGAATCTCCAGACTGACTTCCATAGTGGCTTGACCAGTTTGCATTCCCACCAACAGTGGGTTAGTGTCCCTTTTTCCCCACATCCTCGCCAGCATCTATTGTTGGTAGATTTCTGCATGTGAGCCATTCTAACCGGGGTGAGGTGAAACCTCATTGTGGTTTTGATTTGCATTTCCCTGATTGCTAATGACCTTGAACATTTTTTCATGTGTCTGTTCGTCATTTGGATTTCCTCTTTTGAAAAATGTCTATTGAGGTCCTTGGCCCATCTCTTAAGTGGATTGTTGGTTTTGTTTTTGTGGAGTTTCTTGATCTCTTTGTAGATTCTGGTTATTAACCCTTTATCTGTTGCATAGTTTGCAAATATTTTTTCCCATTCTGTCGGTTGTCTCTTCACTCTCCTGACTGTTTCTTTTGCAGTACAGAAACTTCTCAATTTAATGCAATCCCAATAGTTGATTTTGGCTTTGACTGCCTGTGCCTCCCGGGTCTTTTCCAGAAATTCTTTGCCTGTGCCAATATCTTGAAGGGTTTCTCCAATGTTCTCTAATAACTTGATGGTGTCAGGTCGTAGATTTAGGTCTTTAATCCATGTTGAGTAGATTTTGTGTAAGGTGAAAGGTAGGGGTCTTGCTTCATGATTCTGCATGTGGAAATCCAATTTTCCCAGCACCATTTATTGAATAGACTGTCCTTGCTCCAGGAATTGGTTTTAGATCCTTGATCAAATATAAGTTGGCTGTAGATGTTTGGGTTGATTTCTGGTGTTTCAATTCTGTTCCATTGGTCTATCCATCTGTTTCTGTACCAGTACCATGCTCTTTTGATTACAACTGCCCTGTAGTATGTCCTGAAATCTGGTATTGTGATGCCTCTGGCTTTGTTTTTGTTGTACAAGTTTGCTTAGCTATTCGAGGTCTCTTGTGCCTCCATATAAATTTCAGCACCATTTTTTCCAGATCTGAGAAGAAGGTCTTCGGTATCTTGATTGGTATTGCATTGAATCTATAAATTGCTTTTGGGAGAATGGACATTTTGATGATATTGATTCTTCCAATCCATGAGCATGGAAGATTTTTCCATTTCTTGGTATCCTCTTCTATTTCTTTCTTTAAGGTTTTGTAATTTTCATCGTAGAGATCTTTAACGTCCTTGGTTAAGTTTATTCCAAGGTATTTGATTGTTTTTGTAGCTATTGTGAATGGGATTGATCTTAGAAGTTCTTGCTCAGCCATGGCATTGTCTGTGTATACAAAGGCTGTTGATTTTTGTGCATTGATTTTATACCCTGCTACTTTGCCAAAATCTTCTATGAGTTCCAATAGTCTCTTAGTAGAGTTCTTTGGGTCCCCTAAATAAAGAATCATATCATCTGCAAGAGGGATAGTTTGAGTTCTTCCTTCCCAATTTGTATCCATTTAATTTCTTTTTCTTGCCTAATAGCTCTGGCTAGAACCTCCAGAACTATATTGAATAGCAGTGGTGAGAGTGGGCATCCCTGTCTGGTACCAGATCTCAGTGGAAATGCTTCCAACTTTTCCCCATTCAATAGGATGTTGGCTGTGGGTTTTTCATAGATTGCTTTGATTGTATTGAGGAATGTTCCTTCCAAACCCAGTTTGCTTAGAGTTTTCATCATGAACGGGTGTTGTATTTTATCAAATGCTTTCTCGGCATCTATTGAGATAATCATATGGTTTTTCTTCTGCAGTCTGTTAATGTGGTGTATCACATTGATTGTCTTGCGCACATTAAACCATCCCTGCATACCAGGGATAAATCCCACTTGGTCTGGGTGGATGATCTTTCTGATGTGTTGTTGCATTCTATTGGCGAGAATTTTATTGAGGATTTTTGCATCTATGTTCATCAGGGATATTGGTCTGTAATTCTCTTTCAGTGCTGCATCTTTTCCCGGCTTAGGAATTAAGGTGATGCTGGCTTCATAGAAAGAATTTGGGAGGATTCCCTCTTCTTCAATTGTTCTGAATAGTTTGAGAAGAATTGGAGTTAGTTCTTCTTTAAATGTCTGGTAGAATTCAGCAGTGAATCCATCTGGTCCTGGGCTTTTCTTTGTTGGGAGGGCCTTTATTACTGTTTCAATTTCTGTCTCAGTTATGGGTCTGTTTAGGTTTTCGATGTCTTCCTGGTTCAATTTAGGTAGGTTGCATGTGTCCAGGAATCTATCCATTTCTGATAGGTTTCCCTGTTTGCTGGCATACAAGTCCTTGTAGTAATTTCTGATGATTCTTTTTATT